ACTCAAAAAAAAAAAAAAAAAAAGTGGGATTCTGCAAAATTGAATTAAGTGGTGTTTAGGAGTCTATATCAGAAAAGCATGAGGGACACTGGCCTCAAAATTGACCTAGACCACTTATTCTTAAATTCCTTGCTTCTTGCTACTTACAAAAGCTGTCTAGGAAAGTCAGATTTCTTTCCCCTAAATGTAAAAGGACACCAAAAAGTAAAACCTGTATATTGATATCTAAAGTGTTATCAATGATTTTGATTACTTTTATCCTTTGGTGAGAATCATCAGTTTTACTTATTCCTACTATATTTTTTAGGTATTCACAGTTATTATAATGTAAAATGATAGCTGTGGGCAGAGAAGAAATGAAGGGGAGAAATAAGTGCCAAGAACAGCAGTCTGAAGATGTGTGCCTGCACAGGGGGGTTCTGTTTTGTGTGTATGTTCGTATGTGTGCTTTCTGGAGAGAGGGTTCTTAGCTTTCATTCGATTCTTATTTTTTTTGAGTTGGAATCTCACTCTTCTGCCCAGGCTGGAGTGTAGTGGCACACTCAGGACTACCCCAGCATCTACCTGCTGGGCTCTGGTGAGCTTTCCGCCTCGGCCTTCCAAGTAGCCGGAACTACAGGTGTGCACTGTCACGCCCGGCTAATTTTATGATTTATTGTAGAGACGCGGTCTTGCCAAGTTGCCTGGACTGGTTTCGAATCCGCAGACTCAGGCAATCCACTTGCCTCGGCCTCCCAAAATGTTGGGATTACAGGCCGAGCCACTGAGCCCAGCCTCATTTGATTCTTAAAGGAGTTTGCAACCTCCTCCTCCATTTGAGAAAAAAACCCTAACTTGAGAATCACTGGCCTGTAGGTGCTGTGTCCTGCATTGGCATAGCCCTTTCATTCCATTTTTAGTAAATCTTTCCTCATGTGGTGGGAATTATTCAGATTTTGTTGGATTTTTGTTTATTATTAATAGTAGATGTGAGGAGAATGCATTCTTTGAAATACCTTTTTTCTAAATCCTAAAAAAGGGGAGGGAATATGAAATAGAGCTTGGAATTTGAGGGGATTTGTTGATACTCTAGTCCATGAAAGAAAGAAATGGATGAACTAAGAAAGCTGTAGGAGACATGGGAATCTGGGACTAAATTTATGCAAAGATGTACTTTATAAGATTGTTCATTTGTAGGACCATTTTCCTGTTCTCTTGGTTTTGCTCCTAGTTCAAATATCTTTTCCCAGACCAGCAAAATTATGATTCATTTGGCAGTTGAACAGTACTAAGTATTGTCAGAAGAATGCCTTGAGCTAAATAATTCTGGAATCCTACATAGCACTTTGTATTTGGAGTTAAGTGAAGTGGGTGGTTTTATAGAAAAGCTGTAGGCGTAAAGGAAATTATATAACTATTCTCTGCTTTATACAATTTATTTCTTAATATCTCTTGTATTAGGATCAGAATGAGAAAATAAGATCATAGATATAATTAAGCTTTGATTTCAACTTTAAAGTATAATCTTGTTCAGTATCTAACATTTTATCCTTTTAAAGACGTTAAATCCTCAAACAGTCCTATAAATATTTCTGTATAATATATATATCCTCTATATTGTTACATATTACACAAATCCATGTGCTTGAGGTTTTAGTTTTCAAAGGATTATGTTTTCTTTCTTTTACCTCTGGCAAACAATACATTATGTCATGGAAAAAGTATACAAATAAAAATTAGATATTCATTTGTGGATTACTATAAGTCTTTTTAAAATTTAGACTGTAGTACATTGTAAGTTAAGGAATAATCACTAAAACTTCTTGGGTTAGCATGTATAACATCTATTGTACATATTCTAGTTCTTGTATTCTTAGCTTATATTCTTCCTTAATCCCTAAGTTTTATTGTGTTTTTTAAAAATAATTTTCTGGCCGGGCATAGTGGCTCACACTTATAATTCTAGCACTTTGAGAGTCCAAGGTAAGAGCATTGCCTGAGCCCACGGGTTCGAGACCAGCCTGGGCAACTTGGTGAGACCTCATCGCTACAATAAATAAAAAAAATTGGTCAGGCATGGTGTCGTGTGCCTGTAGTTTCAGCTACTTGGAAGGCTGAGGCAGAGGGATCACCTGAGCCCAGCAGGTCGAGGCTGCGGTGGCCGGGAGTGTGCCACGGCACTTTAGCCTGGGCGACAGAGTGAGATTCCAACTAAAAAAAAAAATTATTATTATTTTCTGAAACTTACCACATAAGCTTGATCTAAAATATCAAACTTTGTGAATTTATTTAAATCTGATTGTACAGTCCTGAAATAGATGACGTGTATCACAGAGAAGAGGAATACATTCCTCACTAATGGATTGGAAGTGCCTTTAAATCTAATTTTAACTGAGTTCTAGCAAGGCGTGGAATTTTGTAAAGCCATATTTCACATTAAATTTAACCTTAATGAAAAGATGTTGTATTTTTTGTATTGTTTTTGCAGATAATCACCTCTCTTTGTCCCATGTATGGCAGTCGATTTGGTTATTCCCTTTCCAATGGCACAGTTGGAGTTTATGACAAGACAGCCCGATATTGGAGAATTAAAGTTAGTATGATGCAGCCTCTGATATTCAGAGTCTTTATACTTATTGTGAGACATCTGTACTAATGATTGGATTTCTTTTTCAGTCCAAAAGTCATGCTGTGAGCATCTATGCTTTTGACCTTAATTCTGATGGAGTGAATGAACTGATAACTGGTTGGTCCAATGGGAAGGTAAGTTTGAATAGCAAAGTTTAGGTATGTATAATTCAAAGTAAAAATTGTCTTGAGGGGAACCCTCTTTCAGGTCCTCTTCCACTGCCGGGAGCTTTCCTATCTTATAATAAATTCCAACTTAGAAGAAAAAATTCTCTTGAGTTATATTGGATATATGACTTAGAACAGTAATAAACTTTAGTTCCTTGGCTGTGTTTTCAAATTTAACTTCATAATCTTTCCACATTATTTCTTCTTGCTGTAGTGTCAACTACAAAGTGAGTGTTCTTTTGGTCCTTTAAGTCATGTAAGCACTATTTGGGGGAAAATCTCCAGGAGATTCTTTCTGAGTCTCCTCTTTGATGAACTGAGGATCCATCAGCCAGGTTGATTCTAGGTGTAGGCTAGTAAAAAAAGGAATTTTAATAACCTAGGATGAACTGTTTGAATAGCTTTTTCTAATAAGTCTTCAAAACTGACTGAAAACTTAGAATTAATGGGAAGAATCATGTTAGCATATACTGTTTTCCGAGTTATAACTCCAAAATAAAAATCCTTTTGCTTTCTTTCCTTTTTTAAACTTCAAATGAGAATTTTCTACAGCCTTTTGGCAAGTCAGGATTGTCTTGTTAGAAATTGCCTGAGTAGCGGCCAACTCTCCATGGATACCGTTTGCCCTAGCTTTCTTGTCTGTCAGTGTTGCATTGCCTGAAGGGGATCAGCTAATTTTTATCTTTTCTTTTTTGATTTTTCTTTACTTTTGGCCAGCACCTTGTAAGTCTTCCTTTGGTGTTACATGAAGAACAGTTTCTGCAAAGCTGTTATGTTAGTTTCTGCTTCTATATTTAGTTTTGTCTTTGGTATGGACAAAAATATACCTTTGGTATAGGTACTAAAAATTATAAAGGAAGACTGTGTAATTGCTTATTGAGAGACCAGAAAGTCCATAAAAGGATGTCTTAGTTAAGGTTGCTATAACAAAATACTGTAGGGTAGGTGGCTTATAAACAGCAGATGTGGGAGTACAGCTCCTGCCGGGTTCAGGGTACCCCAAAGGTGGAGACGGCGTCGGCGATTGTGAGAAAGAGAGAGAAAGACTAGGACAACTGTTCAGATTTGAGCAGAAGCCATTTTATTGTGAGTTGTAGCGAGCTTATATTTCTCTCTACAGGGGAAATAATCTCTGCAAGTTACCACCACAGAGCAAGTTAAAATCATCATTACAGCCGGGCTCGGTGGCTCAGCCTGTAATCCCAGCACTTTGGGAGGCTGAGGTGAGTGGATTGCCTGAGCCCACGGGTTCGAGACCCGCCTGGGCAACTTGGTGAGACCTCATCTCTACAGTAAAATAAAAAATTAGCTGGGCGTGGTAGCGCGCGCCTGTAGTTCCAGCTACTTGGAAGGCTGAAGCGGAGGGATCGCCGGCACCCAGCAGGTCGAGGCTGCGGTGGCCGGGAGCGGCCACTGCACTCCAGTCTGGGTGACAGAGTGAGACTCCAACTCAAAAAAAAAAAAAAAAAAAAAAAAAATCATCATTTCAAAACAAATCACAGCAAATTACATGGATTTTTTGTGATGTTAAAATGATGCTTAAGTTTAAGTGTTCTCCTGCTTGGCTAATGTTCTCTCTAAGGGCGGAGACTATTTCCACCCAAAACAACATTATCCCAACACAATGATGTTACCCTGTAAAAAACAGTCCCCGCAACCCATTAATATAAAAATCTTAAAATTATAAAATTATAAAGCTACTTATTAAACAACTCTATTTAAAACAAAACTTATATCCAAAATTAACTAATATATATTATAATCTTTGTAACAAATCTAACTCTTTATAGACTTAACTTCCTATATTCAGGCTATCTAGGAAAACAAGTTTTTCCATAATAAAGTCTCGGGGGGGGGCCAGAACAGCAGATTCTGGCCCAAGGTTTTGGAGCAGTTCATATGTAGAATACTTCCATCTGGCGGAAGAATGTGCACCTGGAGATCCTCCAGAAGTGCCTGCGCAGATGTTCCTTTTTTCATGGACAAGGAGTTTCTTCTTAAAAACTCTCTGGTCTTTCAAGCCCCTTGGTAGTTTCCTCGTGTTCGAATTCCTTTATTGTTTTCCCAACTGGAACATCCTATCTCTAAGGAAAAAACAGCTTAGAAGAAACTTCTAGTGATGTTATTCAGGCCTCAAGGTAGTTATGGTTGTTAGATAAAAACCTGTTTTGCTCACTTAAATTCTACATCTAAACCTTTTAACTTTTTATATACTAAAACTTTAATATGTATCTCAAATCCCTATAAACAAACTTATAAATCACCTACATATACCTTAATATAAACTTTCACTACACTTAAATCTTATGCCTATAGAACCTTATGTCCAAACACCATAACTAAAACTACAAATAATAAGTAAAAATATTCAAAACAATTCTTTGCCTAAACAAAATCAGAAACCTCTTTTTACCAGGTATTAGTCCCAAATCCTAACCCTAAAAATAAGATCTGTAACCCACGACCAAGCGAAAGAAAGCCCTTTAAATATGCCACAGAGTCATCACATGGGCAAAAGGGACAGGTCAAACAACATAGTGGGAAGTGGAAAGATGGACAATGAGTTTCCAGTAGCTGCAAATGCTTCGCATAAACGTGCTGTTTTCTTTTTTTTCACGACTGCATGGAATTCTTTGGCTGTAATAGCAAAGGCAAAAGACAGCAGGGCTTCAGCTTCCCGGACTCGCCCTGTGGCCCGGGGTCACCAGGACCCTGTTAATCAGATGGGCCTCCAAGGCTGGCTCCCAACAAACATAAATTTATTTCTCACAGTTTTTCTCACAGTTTTGGAGGCTCGGAAGTCCAGGATCAAGATGCTGGCAGATTTGGTGTCTGGTGAGAGCCTGCTTCAAGGGCACTAATCCTGCTCAGGAGGGTTCTGCTCTCATGACCTAATCACCTCTCTAGGGCTCCTTCCTAATACCATTACCTTGGATGTTAAGATTTCAACATGCAAATTTTGTGGAGACTGATGTTCATACCATAGCAGTGGACCATATACTGGGAGAGTATAAATTATTATGACTGACTTAAGAATTAGAAAATGCCAGGCACAGTGGCTCACACCTATAATCCCTGCACATTGGGAGGCCAAGGTGAGAGGATTGCCTGAACCCACAGGTTCGAGACCAGCTTGGGCAACTTGGTGAGACCTCATCTCTACAATAAATAAAAAAATTAACCCAGCATGATGGCGTGTGTCTGTAGTTCCAGCTACTTGAAAGGATGAGTCGGAAGGGTCACCTGAGTAAGCGTGCCACTGCACTCCTGCCTGGTCGACAATGTGAGTGAGACTCCAACTCAAAAAACAAAACAAAACAGATTTAGAAAACAATTAGACCTGAGAAATTAATTAGACCTTGAAATATGACTCCTGACATAGATGCTTTTGTAGTTAAATGCTTTCAAATTTTTAAGAAATTTCTATTATATAATCTGTTCCAGAGCATTAAAAAAAGATAAATTACATAGTTCATTATATAAGTGGAAAAACTGATTATCTACATTCAACAGAAATAGCATAGAAAAGGAAAATACACAGATCCAACTTGTGAATGTGGATGTAAAAATACTAAATAAATGCTGCTAGCCAGTTAGCTTTGGGTGTCATTTGTTGAGTTGGAAAGCCATGTTTTCTTTTTAGGGTAAAATCTGTATGTTGGATTAAGCAAAAGATCAGAATATCCAAAAAATGATTTGGAGTCTTGCTTCTTAGTTAGAAAATTAACCCTCTTGTTTGCTAAATATTGTGGAAGTGGGGTGCTGGAAGCTGTTAGGGGGCGAGGCTTTAACTAGGAAGAAGCAAGTTCAGTTCAGTCTGAGTTAGAGGGTTATGTTAAATGCTCTGGTAAAAATACAGGCCATTTGTTCCTTCATAGGCTTAGCATTCATAATTTTCAGACTTCTATAATATTATTATGGTTTTTAAATTTTATTTTAAAGATGTGGGGTACAAGTCAAGATTGGGTACATAAGTAGTTTATGTACAGATGGTTTGGGTCTCCCATTGGACCTCACTTCTCTTGGATTAGGATCAGGTACCCTTTGATGTTATATCTCCCCCTGCCCCCAGCAGTGTCCCGCTACTGCCAATTCCTTTCTTGTAGTATTATGTTAGACGTTCAGGGTCCACTTAAGAGTGAGAACACGTGATACTCAGTTCTTTGTTTCTGTGATAGATCACTGAGTATGTTATATTATTAATAGTATTGATACTTGACTGTGATATACTCTAGAAAGGGTAGGCTGTGACCTAAATTACTTTATTTTTTGGTTGCAGTGTTTTTCCCAGAAGGATGTTTATGAAAAGACAATAATAGTGAATAGCATTGGTTATTGAAATGATTGTTGGTCAGGCATGTTGGCTCATGCCCATAATATCAGCACTTTGGGAAACCAAGGTCAGAGGATTGCTTAAGGCCAGAAGTCTGAAACCATTCTGATCTATATAGCGAGACTCCATTGCTTCAAAAAATTAAAAAATTAGCAGGATGTGGTGGCATGCACCTCCCAGCTACTTGGGAGGCTGAGGCAGATGAGTTACTTGAACCCAGGAGGTTGAGGCTGCAGGGAGCCAAGATTGCACCATGCACTCCAGCCTGGGTGCCAGAGAGAGACCCTGTTCCAAAAAAAGAAAGGAAGGAAGGCAGGCAGGCTTTACCAGATTACCAGATTTTTTTATAGCTAGTCTTTTCTTGATAATACCTGTGTCCTTGCCTGGAACAAAATAGCTATTTTAAATGATTGTCATTCATTATTGTTTTGAGATGCAATTTATTTCTGATCAATCAGCTATTTATTTGTCCTATCTATTGCGAAGGTGAGATTCAGAAGATAGGACAGCTCTCTAAGGTATCTAAATTGTTATGTGGAAGAAGGACTCTTTTACAGGGTTGTTGTAAAGATTGTATGGTGAAAATTTAGCTAAATCTGCGTTTTTCACACTTTTTTTTTTTTGAATCAGGGTCTCACTCTGTTGCCCAGACTTGAGTGCAGTGCCACGATCCTGGCTTACTGCAGCCTTGACCTCCTAGGCTCAAGCTATCTTCCTTCTTTGCCTCCCGAATAGCTGGTACCACAGGAATGTGCCACCATGCCTGGCTAATATTTTTGATTTTTGTAGAGATGAGGTTTCCCTATGTTGCCCAAGCATATGTTGTGCTCAAGCAGTCTTCTCCCAAAGTGTGGAACTACAGGCGTGAGCCACCATGCCCGGCCCATTTTTCAAACTTAAGATGCAGATATATTTAATACATTTGTATATAATAAAGATAAAAGTTTTATAGAATGCTGACATTTATGGTGTGCTTCTATGTGTCAGGCCCTGTCTTAAGTGCTTTACATGTGTTAACTTCATTACACCTCATTATAACCCTATGAAATGTAGTACTGTTATTTTTTCCATGTTCTGGTTATTGATCCCCAGATCAGATGAAAAGACCAAGCACAGAATGGTTAAGAAACTTGCCCAAGATGCCATAGATAGTACATGGCAGAGCTAGATTCTGAAACTGGGCAGTTAGACATTAAGCCCATAACCTTTTGTAAAAACCAAGCAATATATACTATCTGTGCTGCCTCTTAGCAGACCCATTTCATCGCATGAAACACTGTGTGGAGACTGACGTGTAAAACATCTTTTCTGTAAAAAAGAGAAGGAAGCACAGCTGGTTGAAGCTTCTTAGGGTTCCCTTTGGCCCCAGCAGTCATAGGTAACTCCTGACAAGTTGCAGGATTTCATAGAGTACTTTTTTTTTTTTTGAGTTGGAGTCTCACTCAGTCGCCCAGACTGGAGTGCAGTGGCTGCTTCCAGTCACCGCAACCTCAACCTGCTGGGCTCCGGCTATCCTTCCGTCTCAACCTTCCAAGTAGCCAGAACTACAGGCAGGCATTACCACACCCGGCTAATTTTTTGATTTATTGTAGAGATGAGGTCTCGCCAAGTTGCCCAGGTGGGTCTTGAACCCACAGGCTCAGGCAATCCACTCACCTCGGCCTCCCAAAACGCTGGGATTACAAGCTCAACCACCCACCCCGGCCTATAGAGTACTCTTGCCTGATGAGCTGAATTATCTTTCAAGCTGATTTTTTAAAAAATTTTGTGACTTTTTAAAAAAACTGTAGCATAAGCAACTTCTTAAGCTCTTGTTTTATTTTTCAGGTCGATGCTCGGAGTGACCGGACTGGGGAGGTCATCTTTAAGGACAACTTTTCTTCTGCAATTGCTGGTGTGGTAGAGGGAGATTACCGGATGGATGGCCACATACAGTTAATCTGCTGCTCAGTGGATGGGGAAAGTAAATTGGAATGAGAAAAACCCTTGAAAAGTTGAATTTTTAATTTGATTGGGTCAAAATACCAGGAGATTTCACTACAAAGTATTTGTATTGAGATCCTGTAGTTCTAATAAATTCATCTAAAGTTGGGGAGATGAAAACTTAGGTTTTTGTTTTTAAGAACAGGCAATTGGTGACCTAATAGTAGAGTTGGCTATACTGAGATATTCCTCAGTCTAGTGAATGATTTTTCCTTCTGTGCAGTCCGGGGCTACCTCCCAGGCACAGCTGAGATGAGAGGGAGCCTCATGGACACCAGTGCAGAGCAGGACCTGGTCCGAGAGCTGAGTCAGAAAAAACAGAATCTGTTGCTGGAACTGCGTAACTATGAGGAAAATGCCAAGGTAGGTCCTAATGTGAAGGGGTAATGGAACATTGAGACTGATGGGCAGGACTGGCAAAAGTGGAAGGAGAATGAGAGTGTCAGTGTTGGCCAGGGTGCGGGCATTCTTGCTTCAGCCCTTTTGCCAGTGTTAGAATTGATCTTAATTCTTTGATCTTAAACTTTCACTTCCCAGCAGCTGAACTATAGAAATATTTTGATGAATGTTCAAAAACTTCCACTGCATCACTATTTATAGTGATGAATACCTGGAAGCCACTTAAATGTTCATCAGTAGTGGGGAGTATGTGCTAGGAAGTATTAAGCAGCTCAAAAGAATGAAGGATATATACTTAGACTGATATGGAAGGATATCTGCAGTATTATTAAGTGACAGAAAGCAAGAACAGTATGTATAGAGTGTCTTTTATCTTTTTCAAACACAATCCAAATATTAACAATTTAAAAACGTGTGTGTGTGTGTGTGTGTGTGTGTGTGTGTGTGTACACCAAACTGCCTGGAGGCTGAGCTGGGAAGTGGTACTTAATTTGTCCTGTCAGGCATTACTGTATTTGAATTTGACGTACCAAGTGAATTTCTTTTGTTACTTGAAAAGAACAATACAAAAAACAGTGTAAAAGCCATAATGGGTTACAGTGGACCATAACCATAGAAAGAGACAAGGGTATTTTTCCACGGGGCCAGATAGAGCAAGGGAGCACTAATGAGGTGAGTTCTCTGAACCCTAAAGAGTCAGATTAATATAAGATGATGGAAACTGTCTTTTGAGGCTGAATAGCCATATTATTTAAATTGACATTCATTCACTATTTTGGTGACTGAGTTGGTAATGAGTGGGGTGTTTTGCAGGCTGAATTGAGCAGTCCACTGAATGAGGCTGATGGGCATCGGGGCATAATCCCAGCCAATACCAAGCTCCACACTGCCCTCTCAGTCAACCTGGGGAATGAGACTCGAGCTGCTCATGTAGAATTGTGCATTTCCACTTCTAATGGTAAGAAATTATTTACAGTGGGTGTTTACAGGGGCTTGTGCCTTCTTGGAGTGGTTCTTGAACTGTTTTCCCTCTTCCCTACAGACACCGTCATTCGAGCAGTATTGATTTTTGCAGAGGGAATTTTTAAAGGTGAAAGCCACGTGGTACATCCCACCATTCACAACCTATCCAGCTCCATCCGCATCCCAATTACACCGCCCAAAGATGTCCCTGTGGACCTGCACTTGAAAACGTTCGTGGGTTACAGAAGCAGGTGATCCTTTGCAAATCACAGTTCATTTCAAGACAGCACTTAGAGGAGCCCAAGATGTATACATTTTCAATATGCCATGGATTCTGTGGGGCCCGAGAAACCATTTAATGGTTCTATTCATCCATAGATAGTAGGCAGAAACCATCGAGGTTTCCATGATTTTTTATTTCCCTAACTTGAAGTCTGGAAAAAGAAAAAAAAGAGTATGTAAGTTTAAGATGACTTTTTTCTGTTTTTAGTCAGATGATCTCATTGTCACAAAAGTTTACAAAATATGTTTAATGGATGATTTTTCAACTTACAGTTTTGACCACTAAAACTAAAAGGGTTGGGATGCACCTTTATATTAGAGTTTTATATATATAAAGCTAGTGAAGAGAAACTGCCACATTTGTGAACATAAAAGCCTTTCACATTCCTTTTAGGGTATTTTAAGTCTGTAGTGCATGAATGTGTATGTCTATGTAGACTCAGTATTGCTAAATCTGAAACCTAATATGGTACTGTAGTACTTTAATCCTCAAGTGTTTTTTTCTTCAGTGAAACCCTTAAGTATCAATTGATGACCTAGTAGTGACTTTATTATCTTAGCTTTGCACTTTGAAATAACATAACATTCTTTTCACAACAGTTCTCTTGTATTTCATTGTTTGGTCTTAGCACCCAATTTCATGTATTTGAATTGACAAGACAGCTACCCCGATTCTCCATGTATGCACTGACCAGCCCAGACTCTGCCAGTGAACCACTCAGTTATGTTAATTTTACTATTGCAGAACGGCCACAGAGGGTGAGTATCTTGCTGCTGCACTGTAGAATCCTTTAGATGTTATTTCATAGAAAGGAGAAGTTACATGAATATGTTATATCGGTCACAGTAAATATGATAATGAAAGATTTATGTAATTTGGAGCTGGCTTATAACCTGTAATAAAAATATTTTCTCTTACTTTGAAAATATATCTGAGCAATCCTTAGATGTAGGTGAATTTTTACCTGTTTTTAATTCTTCTCTTTCTGTTATGGTCTTAATGTGGATGTGCTGGCCTAGTGTTTCAGAAGGAACCTGCATCAAGATGAAAAGAGAGTGAGACTTGGAGCCAGCAATGTTTTTTAGTTGAAGTGCTGCCTTAACTAATTTAATTCAATTCTTAGTGATCTTGGGGAATTCCCTCACCAGTCTGAGCCTCAGTTTTCTTGTCTGTAAGTGAGGATAGTCTTGCCACCTCACTGGGGGGCCCTTAGGATTACATGATTGGTGTGACAGCACCTTGTAAAGGTTAAAGGACTGGCTGGGCTCAGTGGCTCAGCCTATAATCCCAGCACTTTGGGAGGCTGAGGTGAGTGGATTGCCTGAGCCCGCAGGTTCAAAACCCGCCCAGACAACTTGGCAAGACCTCATCTCTACAATAAATAAAAAATTAGCCGGGCGTGGTAGGGTGCACTTGTAGTTCTGGCTACTCAGAAGGCTGAGGCAGAAGGATCACTAGAGACTAGCAGGTCGAGGCTGCGGTGGCCGGGAGTGTGCCACTGGCCGGGCACTCCAGTCTGGGCAACGGAGTGAGACTCCAACTCAAAAAAAAAAAAAAAAAGTGTTAAAAGACTGATACCAGTGAACTTTAACTTTGTCTGGGCTTCCAAATTCTTGGTGAGGTTCTTTAATCATGTAGTTTTTCAGGCCCTTGCTTGGCCTGTGAAACCAGAAACTCTACAGGGGAACATTTCCAAAAGGTGTCCTTTTGTGGTTCTTACGTGGAACTTGTGTTGCAAACCATTATAAAGTAGTATTATTATTAACATTATACAATAAGTATCACTAGTAATACTTATTGTATGGATATTTCTCTGTGGTATGTGTACATGTATACTTTATTTAACATTTTTTAAAGAACAGGATGGAATAGTTTTAAGCAGACTATATTGTCCAGGATACATCCACAAAAGAGCTATTGTGTAACAGAATTAGCATTATTCCTGAATCATTTATACACTGCGTATAAGATTATGTCTAAGTAGAAAATGCTGTAGAATTGTGCCTGTTGTGGGGCCAGCATAATTATGAATGTTTCTTCAGAACATGTGTGAGGTGGGAATGGGGAGCGTGACTAGCTTTTTCTTGGTGGGGTGGGGGATGAAGTATAATTCTTCTGTAAAAAAAAACACTAAGCAGTATAAAGAAGGGAGATCTCTTCTTTAAGAATGGCTGTACTTGAAAAATGGAAGCTCATTTCCTTGTTTTCATTTTTAAGGTGGTTATATGGCTCAATCAGAGCTTTCTGTTACCAGAAGATACTAACATTCAGAATGCTCCATTTCAAGTGTGTTTCACATCCTTACGGAATGGTGGCCAACTGTATATAAAAATAAAACCTAGTGGAGAGGTAATGCTTAATGTCTCAGGGCTTAAATTTCTCATGTAGTGTTTACCATTTAGTGTCAAGTGAGGTCTCAAAGTCATAAAACTACATTTCAGCTTAGTCTGCTAGTGTTATCATCTTGGACACTGGGGTGTAATCTTGAACAGAGGTTTTCTTTCTCCCTCCCTCCTTCCCTTCATCCTTTCCTTGTAATATTTTATAAGGATTGGAAATACAGAGATGAACAAAAGCATTTTTATTATTTGAATGATTTTGTCATTTAATTTATAAGGCCAGAGCATTTACCTTTTAGCCAACTGCTGGAAATAATGAATGTGGTTTGTACTTTTCTTGTAAACTGAACCTTATCATATTCATCATTACATATAAATACATATTCAATAATTGTGTTGAATATGAGGAAATTCAGGGACAGTGTCAGCTAAGTTTGTCTAATATCTGAGGATGCTAAACTTGTCTGTTTTTTCTTTTTATAGATCACTGTAAGTACTGATGACATTGACTTGGCTGGTGATATAATCCAGTCAATGGCATCATTTTTTGCTATTGAAGACCTTCAGGTAGAAGCGGATTTTCCTGTCTACTTTGAGGAATTACGAAAGGTGCTAATTAAGGTGAGGATACCTAGTGGATGCATTTGTTTGTGAGAATGTGGTAGTCTAATGTTTGATATGTTTCTCTTAGGAGATTAGTTTTTTTTTTTTTTTTTGAATCATGGTCATACTCTGTTGCCTAGGCTGGAGTACAGAGGCATGATCATGGCTCACCACACCCTCGACCTTCTGGGCTCAGGCTATCCTTCTGCCTCAGCCTCCTGAGTAGCTGGGACTACAAGTGTGCACCACTACACCTGACTCATTTTTTGATATTTTTGTGGAGATGAGGTCTCGCTATGTTGCTCAGGCTGATCTCGAACTCTTGGGCTCAAGTAACCCCTCCTACCCCAATCCAGATTAATGATTCTACAGATGTACTTATGTTATATGTTAGTGATGTTTTAAAGAATGTTTGCAATTCTTATAATAAAAATTGAACCAGTATTGGAGAGTTCGTTAGTTCTGTGAAAGTGAGCAGTTAGCTCTTGACCATCCTGCTTTCTTTGTTTGGTTTGGGACATACTTTAAAAAAAAAGTCGTTTTAGTATTTTTCTTTGCTTGCCCTTCATCTTTTCTGTTGTTTCTATTTTGTTCTTTGGTTTAGGGCTTTCCACAAATCCAAATTCAGAATAAAACAAAGTAAGGAGGACTGTGATCGACCCCAAAGTCCGACAACATTTCCACTGCAAATCCTTTAAATGTTAATATGTGTATTGATCCTGATGCTAAGATGTGGGAAGGATTCACATGGAGTGTCATATTGACTATTGGAGGCAGCATAGACTAAATATTAGGAGGAGATGAAATAATTAGGGAGCTAAGTTGATGTAAGGGAACAGGGGATAAAAAGAGTCTCTGTGTATGGTAAAGAGTATCTTCTCAATCTGTCTAGTTTTCAAGAAGTTTGTGAGGCCTTTTTAATTTCTGAGTGCTCATGGTCTTCAGGTGGATGAATATCATTCAGTGCATCAGAAACTCAGTGCTGACATGGCTGATAATTCTAATCTGATCCGAAGTTTGCTGGTCCGAGCTGAGGATGCTCGTCTGATGAGGGACATGTGAGTATCATGGCAAGGACAGGTTCAAGGCTAAAAATGTGAGCAACATGGAATTGCAACTCTCAGATGTTACTAGTAGGAGTATAAATTGGTACAAATACTTTGGAAAATAACTTGACATTGTTAGTAAAGTTGAAAATGTGTGTACCCTATAACTTAGCAATTCTACTCCTTGGTTATTTCTCAAAAAGCTTGTGCACATATAAACCAGGATATTTGTACAAGAGTATTCATAAGTGCATTGTTTATAAGAATCCCAAGGTAGAAATAATCCAAACTAGTGTCAACAGTATAATGGATAAATTACAGTTTATTTGTACAATGGATTACCATACAGCAATGGGAGTGCACAAATCTCCATGACATGTAACAACATGGACAAATCTTACAAACATGATAGAGACAGAAAGAAGTAAGACTTAAAAGAATATGTACAAAATGCTTCCTTGTTTATGGTTAGAAAAAAAGGCTAAACTATGTGGTCTGGGAAGCATATAATAAATGAAATCAAGGAAGAGATTATCATATAAAATAGTATTTTCTCCTAGAGGAGGAGGAGCTGTGTTCAGAAAGAACACAATGGAAAGCTTCTGGGATGCTGACAATGTCTTGTTTCTTGACCTCAAGAACAAGTGTTTTTTTCTATGAATTTTTCTGAACATGTAACATTTTACCAAAAAAAAGTTAAACATAAATATGTGCAGGTCTTCCTTCATGCTTACTAGGATGCAAAATTTATTTTGGCAGTAAAATGTACTGAAACAAATTCAGGAAAATAGTTAATAAGTGATAGGTGAAGTTTATGTGTATGTTAGGGGCAAGAATTCACCCAGGGTACCACTTGTGTTTTTTCCTGAAAGGTATGAATTATTGGTAGATAATTAAAATGATCTTGCTCAGAAGTAAATGATTTTTAAAATAACTACATTACAAAAGTCAACTCTAAATGGATCAGATCCCTAAATATAAAAAATCTCAAACTATAAGAATCTTAGAAAACATAGAAGACACCCTCAAGGAAATTGGAATAGGCAACCAGTTCCTGATCAAAACCCCAAATGCCCATGCCATAAGAGATAAGATAGACAAGTGGGATCTCATCAAACTGTAAACCTTCTGCAAGGCAAAAGAAATGATTAAGAGGGCAGGGAGACAGCCCACAGAATGGGAGAAAATATTTGCCAACTGTGTATCTGACAAAGACCTAACATCCAGGATTTACAAGGAACTCAAATGTCTGAAAGGCAAAAAATAAACAGTCCTACTAAAAACTGGACAAAAGATATGAATAGACACTTCTTAGAAGACATACGAGCAGCCAACAGATACATGAAAAAATGCTGAACCTTACTAATCGTCAAAGAAATGCAAATTAAAACCACACTGAGATACCATGTAACTCCATTCAGGATGTCCATCAGCAGTAACTCAAAAAACAGCAGATGCTGGAGAGGATGTCGGGAAAAGGGAAGGCTTCTACACTGTTGGTGGAAGTGTAAACCAGTGCAATCTCTGTGGAAAACAGTGTGGTATTCCTAAAAGATTTAAAAGTCGACCTTCCATGCGACCCAGCCATCTCCCTTCTGGGAATATACTTGGAGGAATTCACATCATTCTATAAAAAAGATACCTGACTGGGCGAGGTGACTCAAGCCTGTAATCCCAGCACTTTGGGAGGCCAAGGTGAGGGGATTGCCTGAGCCTATGGGTTTGAGAACAGCCTGGGCAACTTAGCACGACTTCATCTCTAGCAAAAATGACACTGGGGTGGATGTGAGTGTGCCACTGCACTCCAGCCTGGGCAACGGAGTGAGACTCCAACTCAAAAAAAAAAAAGATACCTGCACATGCATGCTTATTGCAGCAGCATTCACAATAGCAAAAACATGGACCCAGCTGTGCTGCCCATCATAAGTGAACTGGATAAAAAAAATGTGGTATATATACACGATGGAATATTACATAGCCATAAAGAAGGACAAAAGTATGGACTTTGCAGCAACATGGATGGATTTAGAGTCTATCCTACTCTGATCTATTACAGAAACAACTGAGTACCGCATGTTCTCACTTATAAGCAGACCATGAACATTTATCATAATACTATAAGAAAGGGTTAACAGTAGCAGGACACTGCAAGGGAAGATTGGGAGGCACATAACATCAATAAGGGTGGCTGATCTCAAATCAGGTGAAGACCAAAGGGAGGCCCAAAGGTTACCTGAATGATGACTAATTATCTACCTAATCCCAAATTGTACCCCACATTTTTTTTTTTTTTGAGTTGGAGTCTCACTCTGTTGCCCAGACTGGAGTGCAGTGGCCGCTCTCGGCCACCGCAGCCTCGACCTGCTGGGCTCCGGCGATCCTTCCGCCTCAGCCTTCCGAGTAGCCGGAATTACAGGCATGCGCTACCACGCCCGGCTGATTTTTTGATTTATTGTAGAGATGAGGTCTTGCTGCCCAGGGGTCTCGAACCCGCAGGCTCAGGCAATTCGCTCACCTCAGCCTCCCAAAGGCACGGGATTACAGGCTGAGCCACCGAGCCCGGCTGTACCCCACATTTTAAAAATAAAAATAAATCAATAAAATAAAATTATTGTTGAAAATTTCAAATACTTATAAAAGTAGATGGAATATGGTAATGTTTCATAGATACCAGCTACCTAGCTTCAACAGTGATAAACTAATGACTGATCTTTTTTCATGTCTACACTTACTCTTTCTCTCCCAGACACTATATTATGTTAAAGCAAATTTTGGATATCATATAATTCCAGCCACAACTATTTGACAATAAGCCTTTAAAATGTATATATGTGGCTAGGCATGGTGGCTCACACCTGTAATCCCAGCACTTTGGGAGGCTGAGGTGGGATGATTGCTTGAACCCAGGCATTTGAGACCAGCCTGGGCAACACAGTGAGACCGCATCCTTAAGAAAAAAAAGAAAAAGTATATATGCACAAAAACCACAAATCCACACTTAGAAAAATGTAAAGTAATTACCTAGTCAATGTTTAAATGTTCTTAGTTATCTCATAAATAAATAAATAAATATATATATATGCTCTAAGTTGGTTTGTTTAAATCAAGATCCAGCAACTAAAGATCATATATTTAGTTGGAAATCTCTTTTAATACACAGTTACTTGCTCACTCACTGTTTCTCCCCTTTCTTGTAGTTTCCATTTTGGATATTGCTGATTGTGTCCTTGTAGTACTGTTTAGTATTATTATTCTGTTTCCTGTATTCCTGCATTTCTGTTAGAATGGTAGTTAGATCCAGAGGCTTGATAAGATTCAGGTTTAATTTTTAGCAAGAATACTTTTTCTTTTTTTTTTTTTCGAGTAGGCGTCTCACTCTGTCACCCAGGCTGGAGGGCAGTGGCATACTCCTGGCCACTGCAGCCTCCACCTGCTGGGCTCAGACGATCCTTCTGCCTCAGCTTTCCAAGTAGCTGAAATTATAGGCACGCACCACTATGCCTGGCTAATTTTTTGATTTATTGTGGAGATGAGGTCTTACCAAGTTACCCCAGGTGGTCTCAAACCTGTGGGTTCAGTCAATCCTCTCACCTTGGCCTCCCAAAGTGCTGGAATTATAGGTGTGAGCCACTGCGCCTAGCAAGAATGTACATCCATGAAGAAGCGCATTGTCTCTCTTTACGATGTTATTAGCCATTGATGATCATTGCCTAGATCCATTATTTCTTTTGAGGTTTGCAAAATAGTGATTATTTCTAATTCTATTATTGTTTTTCATATATTCGCTGAAATACTTCTTTGAAAAATGATGTTCCTTCATGAATTAATGAAGTATTTGGTTCCTGAGGTTCAGTTTGTACAGGAAAGACAGGCTGTTTATCAGCTTTAAGGTGATCAGCGTCCTCCAAAGTGACCAATGAGATTTTAAAATCCTTATGAAATCATGTATTTTAGCATATTTAATGTGTTTCTATCTGTTTCAGCTACTGTTTTTTTTTTTTTTTTTTGAGTTGGAGTCTCACTCTGTTGCCCAGACAGGAGTGCAGTGGCCGCTTTTTTAATGCATATTGTCCTGTCTTGGGCCAATGGAAGACTCTTTAGGTTGGCTATAGTTATCCTTTAAACATCTCATTCGTTTTGTTTATTTTCTTGTATGACAAGATGTTTTAGGCTTATCTGATATGTTTTCTGGTCTAAATATGGAATCAACTTTTTCTCTAGAGTATTGATTCTTTTAAGTGGGGAATGGTATTTCAAAGCCATAGTCTGTGCACTAAAGGTGTTCATTGCTACTGGATTGTTACTGATTTTAGACCTTTTCTTTTTTTGAGTTGGAGTCTCACTCTGTCACCCAGGCTGGAGAACAGTGGCATGCTCCCGGCCACTGCAGCCTTGACCTGCTGGGCTCCTGCGATCCTTCTGCCTCAGCCTTCCAAGTAGCCGGAACTACAATAAATCATGTGCTAACATGCCCAACTAATTTTTGATTTATTGTAGAGATGAGGTCTCGCCAAGTTGCCTGGTTGGGTCTCGAACGTGTGGGCTCAGGCAGTCCACTTGCCTTAGCCTCCCAAAGTGCTGGGATTATAGGCTGAGCCACCGAGCCTGGCCATTTTAGATCTTTTCAATAGATAGAGCCAGGAAATATATATACATTTTTTCAGTGAGAAAATATGAGTTCATATTGCTTGTGAATACAATCTCTTAGATTTTATTACTGTATCTCTTCTCTCTCACATTGAAAATCATGCCAGGTGTAAATACAGGTTCATGCCTATAATCCCAGCAATTTGGGAGGTGGAGATAGGAGGATTGCCTGAGTCCAGGGGTTCGAGACCTGCTAGGGCAACTTGGCAAGAACTCTTCTCTACAGTAAATCAAAAAATTAGCTGAGTGTGGTGGCATGCACCTGTAGTTCCAACCACTTGGGAGGCTGAGGCAGAAGGATCCCCTGAGCCCAGCAGGTTGAAGCTGCGGTGGCCATGAGCATGCCACTGCACTCCAGCCTAGGC